TTTCAGGGCCTGCCCAGTGCCACCACTCACTCACTGGTGTCCCAATAGCTTGCATTTAAAAAAAACAAAACTTTTTGACTGTAATATAATAGCAGTCAGTTTCCTTCACGAGTGTGCATTTCAGGGCCTGCCCAGTGCCACCACTCACTCACTGGTGTCACAATAGCTTGCATTTAAAAAAATCAAAACTTTTTTGACTGTAATATAATAGCAGTCAGTTTCCTTCACTAGTGTGTGTTTCAGGGCCTGCCCAGTGCCACCACTCACTCACTGGTGTCACAATAGCTTGCATTTAAAAAAAACAAAACTTTTTGGACTGTAATATATCATAGCCGCTTCCTTCACTAGTGTGTGTTTCAGGTTTCGCCCAGTGCCACCACTCACTCACTGGTGTCAAGCAATAGCTTGCATTTAAAAAAAAAAAAATCTTTTACCTGTATTATAATAGCAGCCGCTCTTCACGAGTGTGCGTTTCAGGGCCTGCCCAGTGCCACCACTCACTCACTGGTGTCCCAAATAGCTTGCATTTAAAAAAAAAAATCTTTTGGACTGTAATATAATAGCAGTCAGTTTCCTTCACGAGTGTGCGTTTCAGGGCCTGCCCAGTGCCACCACTCACTCACTGGTGTCCCAATAGCTTGCATTTAAAAAAAACAAAACTTTTTTGACTGTAATATAATAGCAGTCAGTTTCCTTCACGAGTGTGCATTTCAGGGCCTGCCCAGTGCCACCACTCACTCACTGGTGTCACAATAGCTTGCATTTAAAAAAAATAAACTTTTTGGACTGTAATATAATAGCAGTCAGTTTCCTTCACGAGTGTGCGTTTCAGGGCCTGCCCAGTGCCACCACTCACTCACTGGTGTCCCAATAGCTTGCATTTAAAAAAAACAAAACTTTTTGGACTGTAATATAATAGCAGTCAGTTTCCTTCACGAGTGTATGTTTCAGGGCCTGCCCAGTGCCACCACTCACTCACTGGTGTCACAATAGCTTGCATTTAAAAAAAACAAAAACTTTTTGGACTGTAATATAATAGCAATCAGTTTCCTTCACGAATGTGCGTTTCAGGGCCTGCCCAGTGCCACCACTCACTCACTGGTGTCACAATAGCTTGCATTTAAAAAAAACCTAAACTTTTTGGACTGTAATATAATAGCAGTCAGTTTCCTTCACTAGTGTGCGTTTCAGGGCCTGCCCAGTGCCACCACTCACTCACTGGTGTCACAATAGCTTGCATTTAAAAAAAAACCACAACTTTTTGGACTGTAATAGTCAGTTTCCTTCATGAGTGTGCATTTTAGGGCCTGCCCAGTGCCACCACTCACTCACTGGTGTCACAATAGCTTGCATTTAAAAAAAAACAAAAAAACTTTTTGGACTGTAATATAATAGCAGTCAGTTTCCTTCACGAGTGTGCGTTTCAGGGCCTGCCCAGTGCCACCACTCACTCACTGGTGTCCCAATAGCTTGCATTTAAAAAAACCAAAACTTTTTGGACTGTAATATAATAGCAGTCAGTTTCCTTCACTAGTGTGCGTTTCAGGGCCTGCCCAGTGCCACCACTCACTCACTGGTGTCACAATAGCTTGCATTTAAAAAAAAATAAAAAAACTTTTTGGACTGTAATATAATAGCAGTCAGTTTCCTTCACGAGTGTGCGTTTCAGGGCCTGCCCAGTGCCACCACTCACTCACTGGTGTCACAATAGCTTGCATTTAAAAAAACAAAAAACTTTTTGGACTGTAATATAATAGCAGTCAGTTTCCTTCACGAGTGTATGTTTCAGGGCCTGCCCAGTGCCACCACTCACTCACTGGTGACACAATAGCTTGCATTTAAAAAAAACAAAAACTTTTTGGACTGTAATATAATAGCAATCAGTTTCCTTCACGAGTGTGCGTTTCAGGGCCTGCCCAGTGCCACCACTCACTCACTGGTGTCACAATAGCTTGCATTTAAAAAAAACTAAACTTTTTGGACTGTAATATAATAGCAATCAGTTTCCTTCACGAGTGTATGTTTCAGGGCCTGCCCAGTGCCACCACTCACTCACTGGTGTCACAATAGCTTGCATTTAAAAAAAACAAAACATTTTGGACTGTAATATAATAGCAGTCAGTTTCCTTCACTAGTGTGCGTTTCAGGGCCTGCCCAGTGCCACCACTCACTCACTGGTGTCACAATAGCTTGCATTTAAAAAAAAACACAACTTTTTGGACTGTAATAGTCAGTTTCCTTCATGAGTGTGCATTTCAGGGCCTGCCCAGTGCCACCACTCACTCACTGGTGTCACAATAGCTTGCATTTAGAAAAAAACAAAACTTTTTGGACTGTAATATAATAGCAGTCAGTTTCCTTCACTGGTGTGAGTTTCAGGGCCTGCCCAGTGCCACCACTCACTCACTGGTGTCACAATAGCTTGCATTTAAAAACAAACAAACATTTTTGGACTGTAATATAATAGCAGTCAGTTTCCTTCATGAGTGTGCGTTTCAGGGCCTGCCCAGTGCCACCACTCACTCACTGGTGTCACAATAGCTTGCATTTAAAAAAAACTAAACTTTTTGGACTGTAATATAATAGCAATCAGTTTCCTTCACGAGTGTATGTTTCAGGGCCTGCCCAGTGCCACCACTCACTCACTGGTGTCACAATAGCTTGCATTTAAAAAAAACAAAACATTTTGGACTGTAATATAATAGCAGTCAGTTTCCTTCACTAGTGTGCGTTTCAGGGCCTGCCCAGTGCCACCACTCACTCACTGGTGTCACAATAGCTTGCATTTTAAAAAACCCACAACTTTTTGGACTGTAATAGTCAGTTTCCTTCATGAGTGTGCATTTCAGGGCCTGCCCAGTGCCACCACTCACTCACTGGTGTCACAATAGCTTGCATTTAGAAAAAAACAAAACTTTTTGGACTGTAATATAATAGCAGTCAGTTTCCTTCACTGGTGTGAGTTTCAGGGCCTGCCCAGTGCCACCACTCACTCACTGGTGTCACAATAGCTTGCATTTAAAAACAAACAAAACTTTTTGGACTGTAATATAATAGCAGTCAGTTTCCTTCACACGTGTGCGTTTCAGGGCCTTCCGTGGCACAGTGTCACACCAGTGCAACTCATATCTGGTGTAACAGTAGTGTACATTTAAAAAAAAAATACAATTTCGACTGTAATAGATTTAATAGCAGTTAGTTGTCTGCAAGCGTGTGTATCAGGCCTACAGCATCTACTCTGCCAACTTCTGCCACTGCACAGTGCCACTCATATCTGTTGTCACAGTAGCTTGCACGCATAGTACCACTAATCGAAAAAACAAATGACAGGCAGAGGCAGGCCACCCCGCAGGGGCCGTCGTGGTCGTGGTGCTGTGATTCCCTTTGGCCCTAGAATAATGCCCAGTGTTCAGAGGCCACATACCCTGAACTCGAAAAGTTCTGAGGACATAGTTGACTGGCTAACACAGGACACCCAATCTTCTACAGCTTCCGCTCGGAACCTTGACGCACCATCCTCCTCCAGCTTAGCTTCGGACACCTCTCAAGTTACCACTCGCCCACCTGCCGCCACCACCAACACTAGCACCACAGCAGCTTCACTTGGTATGTCAGGAGTTATTTACACATCAGTTGGAAGAAATGAGTTATGCACAACCATTATTGCCAGAGGATGTAGATAACAGGGATATGTCTCAGTCAGGCAGCATTACACACATGGACGTACGGTGTGATGATGATGTTGTACCCGCTGCTGCTTCCTTTGCTGAGTTGTCAGATACAAGTGAAGCGGTTGATGACGATCCGTCCGTGGATGTCACGTGGGTGCCCGCTAGAAGAGAAGAAGAACAGGGGGAAAGTTCAGATGGGGAGACAGAGAGGAGGAGACGAGTTGGAAGCAAGGGGAGGTCGTCGCAAGGAGCTAGTGGCACAGTCAGACAGAATGCATCGGCACCCGGGGTCAGCCAGACAGCACACCAATCAACGCATGCTGTTGCCACCACCAGAATGCCGTCATTGCAGAGCTCAGCAGTGTGGCATTTTTTTTGTGTGTCTGCCTCTGACAACAGCATTGCCATTTGCAACCTGTGCCAAAAGAAAGTAAGTTGTGGGAAGTCCAACACCCACCAAGGTACAACTGCTTTGCGAAGGCACTTGATCGCACATCACAAACGCCTATGGGATCAACACATGAGTACTAGCAGCACACAAACTCAAAGCCGCCATCCTCCTCCTGGTCCAGCATCTTCAGCCACGTTAACCACTGCTATTCTCCTTGCCCCCTCTCAACCATCCGCCCCTCCGTCTCTCGCCTTGAGCAGTTCCTGCTCATCTGCCCACAGTCAGGTGTCTGTCATGGACATGTTTCAGCGTAAGAAGCCAATGTCACAAAGTCACCCCCTTGCCCGGCGTCTGACAGCTGGCTTGACTGAACTCTTAGCCCGCCAGCTTTTACCATACAAGCTGGTGGAGTCTGAGGCATT